AGTTGTTAGGACCACAGGCTTTGGAGCCAAACAGAACTAGGCTGAATCTCAACTCTGTAACTTATTACCTGTGCAACCCTAGGCAAGCGACTGAACTTGAGCCTCGGTCTCCTTGTCCACATGAAGATGATGATAAGAACTGAGGATAATGACATGGGTATACTGTTCTTTTCCACAGTGCCTGGCAACCTGTGTAAGCAAGCACTCACGACAGCCTAGCTATTCTTAATCTTACTCCTATTTGATAGGTAATGGGAAGCCATTATAACTTTTTGCACAGGGGAGAAAAGGTGAAAATGATGTCTTCGAGAAATTATCTTGGTGTTGTTGTGGAAGTTGGATTATACTGGCAGAGATAGGAAATCTCTTAGAATATTATTAGGGTAATCTGGACCCAAGGGACAGAAGGAAGTGGGAACAGAGAGGATGTTGTCAAGGAAGAATTAAAAGGATTAGATGCCTAATTAGATACAGGAGAAAAATAAGGAAGAACTGAAGGTGAACCCAGAGCTTCAAGTTATTTTGATGTCATTACTGAAAATGAGGGAAATCAGGAAAGGAAGTTTAAGAAGTTAGTCTTTTAAAACAACGGAATAACAGTAAATCTTTTCAACAAAATGTAAGGTTAGTATAGTCCTTCCATTTAAGACTTATGTAGGTGTTTTCCTGTAGTGAGAAGCTCAAAGTATTTTGTAATTTACTTAATCAACAAGAGCAATTTTTCCCAAAGTACGACAAGATTTTGCCCATTGTTCCTCCCATGGAAAGTTGGGAGCATTGGCCAATATCAGCTATTTTGAGGGTTGTTAGTAAAGGTAGGCTGGCTCTTTTATCGTTTCTATCTTAAGGTCAAGAGTCATGTAACTGTCAAGGGCAAAGAGCACTGTATGCTAAAAACCCATCTTAAGGAGAATTGCTACACTTGAGCGCTAAGCTTAGCTTTCAGGTTTTTAGGCTCCAAAGTAAAAATGGAAACAGTGAGTTAGCCACTTGTTCTCTCAGAAGGTGAGTATGCCTGAGAGATTTGAGTTGCCCAGTGCCGGCACAGTGCTTAACAAATGTTTGCTGAATGAATGAAACGGTTTGTAAACTAAGACCAAATTAAACATTTCTTCCTAAAAAAGACTAGGTACTTGGTAGGTTTCAAGGAAGACTGAAAAACGTATCACTGAAATCTAATGCCTCTGCTTTCCTAGACTGTGGAAACTAAACTGTGGTATCTGAATGGTCCCTATCAAAATCATGCCCAGCACTCCTAGCATCATCTGTTTCAAAAGCTTTGTTTCATAAAGTTCCCTTACATTTGTGTCTAAACCCAGTTTAATTTATCCAAACCAGGAAAGATAAAACAAAGACTGTAGTATGTGTTGCTAAAGTTTACATTTGTGAAGGTGTAAAAGGAAGAGATGCTAGAAATGCAGCGGTAATATGTAAGTAGATGATTTGCCTGAGTATTTAAGGCACTGCAGAAAAAAGTCACGTTCTTACTGGGTATTGGTGATTTTATTTTTTTAATTTTTTTTTAAAGATTCTATTTATTTATTTGACAGAGAGAGAGATCACAAGTAGGCAGAGAGGCAGACAGAGAGAGGGGGAAGCAGGCTCCCTGCTGAGCAGAGAGCCCGATACGGGGCTCGATCCCAGGACCCTGGGATCATGACCTCAGCTAAAGGCAGAGGCTTTAACCCACTGAGCCACTCAGGCGCCCCGGTGATTTTATACCCTCCTAAACAAGGCAGGAAATAAAGGCAAAGTTATAGAACCATATACTGTGAACAAACTGTTGTGGGTGGAATTGTGTCCCCCTAAAATCTAGTATGCTGAAGTCCTAACCCCCAGGGCCTCAGAATAGGACTTCATTTGGAAATAGGGTATTTGCAGAGGTAATCAAGTTAGAGCAAGGTGATGAGGGTGGGCCCTAATCCAGTACGTCCTTATAAAAAAGGAGACAGACATATGTGAAAACACCATCTGAACGTGAAGATGGCTATTTACAAGCCAAGGACAGAGGCCTGGAATACATAGACGCTTCTCTCACAGCTCTCAGAAGAAACCAATCCTGCCAACACCTCGATTTCATACTTCCAGTCTCCAGAGCTGTGATCAACTAAATTTCTGTTGTTTGAGCCCCCCTGTTTATGGTATTTTGTTGTGGAAGTCTTAGCAAACTAATACACAACTATTTCAGCAGGGTGGTTAACTTACCTTTAGTTCAGGATAGGGAGCTAAAAGCTGAGTGCTTCCAAACCTCTTGAAACATAAACTTGATTATTACTAGGAAAGGAAAATTACATAAAAAGAACAGTTCCTGAACACTTAGCAAAGTACTATGTGTTTAGAAAATTAATTTCCATGGTCACTACCTCACAATATATACATAAATCATCATGTTGTGCACCTTACACTTAGACAATGTTATATGTCAATTACATATCAATAAAGTTGGGGGGGGGCAAAAATAACTTCCAACTTCATTTTCTCAAGCTCCCTAATACCTAGAAACAGCTACCAGCCCCACTTGAGAAGAAATTATCCACTAACTGCCTGCTAGGAAAGGGGCAACCTAAATCATACACTGACTTAAATGCTGAGCCAAAACCTAATACTGACTTGCACTGTGTGTTTATTTAAAAGTAAAAGAAAATGTAATCAACTCAGTTTATAGCAAATACAGGGAACAAAAGAGCATATTAAACACCACATGGAAGCAGAATCAGAATGTGGGGCAGTCTACAGGACAAATGGCCTCGCTTCTTCAATAAATAAGTGGCGCAGAACAAAAAACAGGAGGGGAAAGGAATGTTTTAAGTAAAAGAGAGCTCCTGGGTGGCTCAGTGGGTTAAGCGTCTGCCTATAGCTCAGGTCATGATCTCAGGGTCCTGGGATTGAGCCCCACATTAGGTTCCCCACTCAGCGGGGAGTTGGTTTCTCCCTCTGCCCCTTTCCTGCCTTGTCCTCCCTCTCTCTCTAATAAATAAATAAAATCTTAAAAAAACAGAGATCTGAGAGATCATGGTTGGAACACGTTTCAATCAGTAAAAAAGACGTTTTAAAGAATAGTGAGAATTTTAACATGGACTGCTTATTAGACGACATTAAAGAATAACTTAATTTTGCTAGCTATAATGATGGCATGGTGATTATGTAAGAAAAATATTCCTTCTCAGAGATTCATACTGAGTGTTTGTGGGTAAAAAGAGATCAGGGATTTACTTTCAGGCATTCTCCTCCCCAAAAGGTTAATAAGTTCAATAACTAAAAAGAAATCACTGTTAAAGAATGCATATAAAGAGGGGTGCCTGCGTGGCTCAGTCTGTTAAAGTGTCTGTCTCTTGATTTCAGCTCAGGTCATGATCTCAGGGTCATGGTCAGCTCAGGTCATGATCTCATGAAATTGAGCCCTATGTTGGGCTCTGCCCTGGGCATGGGGCCTACTTGGGACTCTTTTTCTCCTTCTTCCTCTGCCCCTCACCCCTGTGTTCATGTGCTCTCTTTCTCTCTCTCAAAAAAAAAAGAATGCATATAAAGAAATATGCAATTTAAGGTATCTATCAGACCATTAAGCTGCTAAAAATAAGTCTTGGTTTTCCATTCAATCAGTACCCAGATTGAAAGCTAATATTATTTCTGTTTTCCCATTTAATTCACTTTCTACTTGTGTTTCATTTAAAATGTTTGTAACATATATTATGTCACTATGGAGATAGATTGCTTTATAATTTACTGACCAGTTAAACTTTTCTTGGTTTCAAGCTTCATAGTCAAATAGCAACATGTAACCAATTTTCAAAAATTTATCTTGATTTCAAGCTTTATAATCAAATAGCAACATGCAATCAATTTTTAAGTATTGATCTCATTTAGGGGAAGCAACAAAACAAATTGCACAGATAAACCAGAGGTCATCTTACCTACTAACTTAAGGTTCTTTCATTAAGAACTTCTAAAAGAGCTCCCTACTCTCAAAGACAGTTAAAGAACGTTTTATCTACTAAAAAGCAAAAGGAGCTTTTTACCATACTTGTTTGCTCCTGGATGACAGGCTAGACTTTAGGGAAGCCATGGTGGGAAAGGGAAAGAGGGAAAGAAAGCAGGAGCTGGAGTCCTAAACACCAGGCTCATGAGATACTATGGCTTTTGTGCCACTGAAACAGGGAAAGGGTAGCTGGAAAGGATTCCAGTAATTTAGGGCTAAATCTGGCTCTGACATTCACTAACTCTAAACATTGGGTAAATTATGAAATTTCTCCTGTTGTTAATTTCTGATCTTACGTTGTGAGATAAAATGAGAGCACAGATGTAAAATACGTATTTTAGCGCTAAGTGAATAATAAGTGCTTCGTAACAGTTAAGCCCCCCTTGAACAAAAGTCTGTTTGTAGTTGGGTCAGAAAAATCCTACCACCTGTGGCAGAGTGGTGATTTGATCTTTTGAGTTTTGTGGCTAATCTTTGGATAATTAAAAGGTTTAACTGTGTATTAGGCATTTGCTTTTAAACACACACACACACACACACACACACACACACACACACGCATGCACACATACAGGCCTGCACAAAACATAAGCCAGTGAGGTACAATGTGTCCCTGAACTCAGATCACTAAGCAATTACACAAAATGGTAGCATAAAGGCCATTTCATCCATCAAAAAAATTTCATCTGATGGTTTTTAGAAAAAATGATAATTATGGTCATTATGAACCTAAAAATTAATAATCTTTTCTTTGTGATCTCTGAAAGAGGCCAGATCTGAGGCAGAAGAGTATATCGTTTTTCTGGAAACTATCAGTTTATTAAAATAGGTAATAACCCAAAGAAATACAGGACTTCTTAGTTGTTTTTGTTTTAGAGGAACCGTTCCTGGAATTAGAAACAGAATCATTTGTGACCTCATTTGGAATTACAGAACCATAAGTATTTTTTTCCCATAGCAATTTTTTTAAGGAAAAATAGTTTTCTTTTTACTGAACAGCTATCAGTTTTGAAAGTCTTCTTACCTGTTTGATTTGATGAAGGCGACCAAAGGAAGCACGGATGGGGATGGGAGAAGGTGGTAAAAACTGAAATTTAAAATATAGAAGTCAATACCTGAAGCTAACATAACACTGAATGTTAATCATACTTCAATAGAAGAATAAATAGCAGTTGAGCTGGCTTTAATGTTTCTGATTAACTATTTCTAAACATTAATTAAGTCAATGTTGAATCACCTAAAATGTCTGAATGTCTAATGCACGTAAGCAACAGTTTAAGTTAAGTTTAAAATTAAATAATAAAAGATCCAATTGACTCTTGACTGAAAATTATACTAGCCAAAAGTATGTGTGTATATATATATATACATATATGTATGTGTGTATATATATATATACATATATGTATGTATGTATATGTGTGTGTGTGTGTGTGTGTGTGTGTGTGTGTGTATGTATACAGAACAAAATAACTGTTAACATAAGAGGTACTGGGCAGAACATCAACAGAACATTTTGTTTATCTCTACTTCCCCTTTCCCAAGGCACTGGATCTTAAAATCACCTCATTTTTTTCTTGCCAGATTTACCTTGCAACAAACAAACAAAGCAACTCCATCACGTATCTTAGAACCCAGCTGAAGAAACCATACTTTCATAATATGAAATGACTTAAGGTGGTCACTGCCAAGTAGCTCAGTACATTTTCTCTTGCTTGTTCAGATACTTGTCATCTAGATTACTTTCTCCTGTTCCATCTTATCGCAAAGCTTATGAGGACCCACGCAAGAGGGAATGAAAGAATGGACAGATTTAAAGCTAAGTGTGAAAATGAGGCTTGAAAAGTACCTTTAGAATTCATTTATCCATTCTACCTGTATCCTGGTTAGTTCTTGAAATGCCAGATAATGAATCTACCATATCTTACTTTTACATTATATCTTAAGAACACAATGAGTTGTGCATTCAGAAATATTTAATGAGGCAAACCACTGTGCTAGACCTTGAAGATCCAAAGAGAAATAAAACATTTTCCTGTCCTTGAGAAATTTGAAGTGTAGGTAGGGCAAATTAGACCATAGGTCAGTGTTAGAACTAGTTATGATTTGTGTGAAGTCAAGGAACAGAGGCTGTATCTCCATCTGGGGTTCCTGGGGAAGGCTTCACAAAGGAGGGTAGGAATTCGATAGATAGGGAAGAGGTAGCAGGGTATTTCAGGGAGTGGGAAGAGATGCTCAGATAGAAGCATGTTTGGGGAACAGAGAGATTCAGGGTGGCTGAAATTTGGTACATGATAGGGCATGAAAGGAAGCAAATTTGGGGAAATTTGGCTGAAACCAGATTATGGATTTTGGACTTTAGCCTTTTGAGCCCAATAGGAAACATAAAGCATAGATACTTCTGAGTTCTTAAAACTCAGAACTATTTTTTTTTATATTTTTTTAATTAAATTTTATTTTTTATAAACATATATTTTTATCCCCAGGGGTACAGGTCTGTGAATCGCCAGGTTTACACACTTCACAGCACTCACCATAGCACATACCCTCCCCCGTGTCCATAACCCCACCCCCCCTCCAAAAAATTTTATTTTTAAAGATTTTATTTATTTATTTGACAGAGAGAGAGAGACATCAGCGAGACAGGGAACACAAGCAGGGGGAGCGGGAGAGGGAGAAACAGGCTCTGCACTGAGCAGGAACCCCCATGCAGGGCTCAATCCCAGGACCCCGGGATCATGACCTGAGCCGAAGGCAGACGCTTAATGACTGAGCCACCCGGGTGCCCCAATTCAGAAGTATTTTAAACAAGATCATATCTGTTTTAGAAAGGCAACCCTAGCAGCATATACAGAACAAACTGAGGGTGGAGGGAAGAGGGACTAGAAGCAGCATCAAAGGCCAGGTAAGAGATAATGAGAGTCTGAATGAAAAAGAGCAGGATAAAGAGGAGAGAGACTGGAGAAATGATGAGAAAGTGTAAAGAGGGGCGCCTGGCTGGCTCAGTCAGTAGAGCACATGACCCTTAATCTCTGGGTTGTGAGTTCGAGCCCCATGTTGGGAGTAGAGATTACTTAAAAATAAAATCCTTAGGGGCGCCTGGGTGGCTCAGTCAGTTGAGTGTTCGACTCTTGATTTTGGCTCAGGTCATGATCTCAAGTCGTGGGATTGAGCACTGACTGGGGCTCCTAGCTGAGCACGGAGCCTGCTTAAGATTCTCTCTCTCCCTCTGCCCCTCCCACACTGCACTCACACATGCTCTCTCTCTAAAACATAAAAAAAATAGATAAATCTTAAAAAAAAAAAAGAATGAAAGCGTGAAAAGAGCTCAAGATTGGTCTGAGGTTCCTAGCTGTCTGTGGTAGACTGGAAGGGCAGTAAGAAGAATGAGTTTGTGTGTGGGGAGAAGATGAGTGTTCAAAAAGGTGTGCTGGATATATTTTTATGTATTTTTTACATAAAATTAAGTATTTTTATGAAGTAGCTAGTGTGAATTTTTATTAGATTTTAAATCTTTCACTAGTTACATTTTGCTTAAGACAGTATTAAATCCAGTTTGTTTTTTCTAATCATTTGCTAGAAGGTGGGGGAAACAGCCAAGGTTATAGAAGTAATAACAGAAAATTCATATAAGGGTCACTGAAAATTCACTACATTTAAATTATACTGGACAATGAGCCATAATTACTTTATCATAACAAAAGGCTAACTCTTAAGTATTTTAATATTTATTGGGCCCTTATTATATTTAAGAAACTGTTTTTCTGCTCAGAGGGGAAGGAGAAATTAAAAGAAAAGTAAGCCGTAGTTATTACCCATAGACATCTTACAGCCCAGACATGAGAGCTAATGATGAAGGGAATGGGAGATGGGAGACAGGTAAGGCACAAGGTGGTGGTGTGAGTTGGGCCTCGTAGGGCGAAGAGTTTGACAGCATAAGCAAGAGAAAAGGGAAAGTGCTAGGCATGTTCTAGGAAACATGTTTTAGGAAAGGTTGTTAGTCCTGTGTGAGTGCAATGCGAGGTGTCTCTAGAGGGACAGAAGATTCTGAGGCCAACAGAGTGAAGATGCTGGAAAGCCTTGAATGCCACACTAAAAAAAAAACCCAACTGAACTGTGGCAAAATGATCTACTTTGGTAGACACAGATGAGCAGATTACGCCTAACAGCATGGTCTATTGAACTTTGGAAAAGACACACTCACATACTCATCAGCCCTGAGCCTGGTTCAGGCTCTGTCCAGAGGATGGGTATGAAGAAGGAGGTTATCAGACAGCTAATGACTGCTGACTGGCCAGATTTCAGACTAGCCTGTACTAATCATGTTCCAGGGTTGACAGTTCAAGAAAATTCCTAGTATGGAGCACCGGCGTGGTTCAGCTGGTTAAGAATCAAGCTATTGATTTTGGCTCAGGTCACGATCTTAGGGTTGTGAGATCAGGTCCCATGTCAAGCTCTGTGCTGAGTGGGGAGCCTGCTTAGGATTCTCTCTTCCTCTGCCTCTGCAACTCTCCCTGCTCGCTCTCTCTCTCTCTCTCTGTCTCTCTCTTCCAAAAAAAATACAGTTTAAAAAAAGAAAATTCCCAATTCAAATCAATAAGGCTACTAGTTGACCTTTATCATAAAAGTCCGCAGATTTCTCCATAAAACTTGCATAAAAGGCTTATATTGGACATATGATTTGTTGCTCTATGGAACAGTGCTACGAACGATGTAAAAAGTTTCTCTTTCAAGTGGCGCCTTGTATGAAATATGATAATGGTGATAATGTATGTAATATGCTTCACACAGCACCTCGCACAGAGTACGTGCTTAGTCAACAGTAACTGTTACTACCGCTACCACCATTATCACCACCATCATCAAATATTTCTAGAATTCAATGTTTAATGACATATAAACAACAACTAGAATTATATATGGTAGCTTTACAAGACTTAGATATCTACTCCTTGCTAGCCAGCATTCTTTATTCTTTTTCCCATCCAATCTTTTAACTAATTTACTTTTAATAGACTCTATTTTTTAGATCAGTTTCATGTTCATAGCAAAATTGAGTGGAAGGTACAAAGATTTCCTCCACTCCCACATAAGTAGAGCCTCTCCCACTATTAAAAGCTGAACAAAAGTGGTAAATTGTTATGATAGATGAACCTACATTGATACATCATTACCGCCCAAAGTTCATAGTTTACATTGGAGTTCACTCTTCATGTTACACATTCTTTAGGTCTGGACATATGTATAATGGCCCATATCCACCATTACAGTATCGTACTGAATAGTGCCACTGCCCTAAGAACCCTCTGAGTTCCACCTATTCATCCTAATCTTTTTTTCCCAACGGAAACTGACTTACTTTTTTCTCATTATAAAGCAATACACGCCCAGTATAAAACATAATTAATGGGAAAAAAACCAGCAGCACCCACCATCCAGAGATGGCCATAGTAAATATTTCAGTGTTTCCTTTTCCAGACCTGGATCCTCCCACACATTCTATCCTGCAGTTTGGGTATTTTTTTCTTTATAATTTTTAAAATATTTTATTTATTTATTTGAGAGAGAGTACACGAGTTGGGGGGAAGAGCAGAGGGGGAGGACGAGGGAAGAGAGAGTCTCTCAAGCAGACTCTGTGCTGAGTGCAGAGCCTGACACAGGGCTTGATCCCATGACCTTGAGATCATGACCTGAGCCGAAACCAAACGTTGGATGCTCAACCAACTGAGCCATCCAGGTGCCCCAATTTTTTTTCTTTATAATTTAATACATTCTGGCTCTGCATCTTGGGATGCTAGCAGCTTTCAAGTTATGGGCCAGCATCTTCCAAAATGTCCACTGTTCACACTCAGCTTAGAGGGCGACCACTCTACACCCCCAAATACATACAGGTCAGTCAAAACATACACCAACTTTGATTTCAAGTGTAATGCTTTGAACACTGAAATGGCATCAAGGCTAAAAGTGTGGATGAGGTCACTGTCATCAACATACTGACCAACCACAGCAATGAGGATAGACAGGATATTGCCTTCATCTACCAGACAAGGATCAAAAAGGAATCTGCATCAGCATTGAACTCAGCCT